GCACACATCACAGCAGGATATAGTAACCAAGCAAGATGCTCTGGGCCTGGGCTCTAGTCATATGTTATCCACTGTACCGACACTTCAGCTTCAATCATCGCTGTATGACAGCAGGTGCAATTGAAAGCTGCACCAACTGTTACCCCAGCCTCTCGTCATTAAGTTCATGAGAGCAGTTCTGCTCACCACCAGAAAAGAGGAATGCTGCGAAACCGATACTGCAGCGAAGTACATGTAGGTGGAACGAGTTCTATCCTTTACTTACTGAGGCCAAATTATAGCCTTTTCCATAGCTCCAATCTCATTAGACATTCCCAGCCCACAGTAACACAACGCTCATAGACCAACATCTTCCCATCAGATCTATTTAAAATATTTTTTCCAGTGATGGTTCCAAAGCTGCCTCTGTGAGTTTTTTGGCCAGTTTTCCCATGCTGGATCCCAATTCTTGTCTTTGTGGCATATTCCCTGCTGGCTGTTAGGAGCTACTGATTCTTTGTCATGGAATTCTGTTTTTTTTTTTTTAGATTAGGTTATGTTGCAATTCTTTTTTAATGTTTCCAATTCTTTACATAAAAAGAATAAGTTTGTATAAGCAACTAGGACCTACTGTATTGCACAGGGAACTATACTTAGTATCCCGCAATAACCCACAGTGGAAAAGAATCTGAACAAGAATATATGTGGAAAAGAATCTGAACAAGAATACATACATATATCCATATAAATATACATATATATAACTGAATCACCTTGCTGTATACTGTAAATTAACTATACTTCAACAACAGAAAAGAATAAGTCCATGATTCAAATAAAAAAAAACCCAACTATTTAAAAGTATACTTTGTGAAGTCACTTTACTTCTGTGCTTGTTTAGTCTATTCCCTACCCTTATGTGTGCATATATATATATATATATATGTTTTTTTCCTTGCATATACTTTCAGTATTTCTTATTCCAGGTATTGGCAAATGCAAATATATAATTATCTTCCCTAATTCCTTACTCAGAGGGTAGCATACTATAAACACTTGTTCATACTTTCTTTGTTTAAATTTATTTTATTGAAGTGTAGTTGATCTACAATGATGTATTAGTTTCATGTGTTGTTGTTATTGTTTAGTCCCTAAGTCATGTCAGACTTTTGCAAAGTGAGTTAGTTTATAATATATATTCATATATATTCTTTTTCTTGTTATCTTCCATCGATGGGATTCTTCACAACAGGGAAGGTGAAAGCCGGGTGGAAAACCCTGGAAGGTGGTGTCCGCAGACACACAAGTCTTGCAGCCAGCATGGTGGTGCACCAGGTTTAACAAGCATATCTGAAATGCTCAGTCCATGGTCACCTCGAGTGCTCAATCTCCCTTCAGGGCTGGCAAAATGCAACCACACACATGTCCCGTGCCTTCCGTCAACCTCTTATTCTATACTTTTCGCTTAATAAAAATTATCTTGAGCTAAGATCTCAGACAATGTGAACAAAAATCAGGGAAGAAATAAATGAGTAGAACTATGCTAAAGTCTTCATCTTGAACAAGAAAAATTCTAAAGAATGTGCTAACTATTGGACAGTGGCACTCATCTCCCATGCTGTAAGGTCATGCGTAAAATCTTTCATGCCAGGCTTCAGTGCTATGTGAACCGTGAACTTCCAGGTGTCCAAGCTGGGTTTAGAAAAGGAAGAGGAACCAGAGATCAAATTGCCAACATTCGCTGGATTATAGAGAAAGCAAGGAAATTCCAGAAAAACTTTTACTTCTGTTTCATCAACTACACTACAGTCTTTGTGGGGATCATAACAAACTGTGGAAAGCTCTCAGAGAGATGAGAATACCAGACCATCTTACCTGTCTCCTGAGAAACCTGTATGCTGATCAAGAAGCAATAGTTAGAACCCTGTATGGAACAACAGATTGGTTCAAGATTGAGCAAGGAGTATGACAGGGCTCTCTGCTGTCACCCTGTTTGTTTAACCTATATGCTGAGCACACCACGAGAAATGCCAGGCTGGATGAGTTACAAGCTGGAATCAAGATAGGTGGGAGAAACATCAACAACCTTAGATATGCACAAGATACAACCCTAATGGCAGAAAGCAAAGAAGGAACTAAAGAACTTCTTGAGGGTAAAGGAGGAGAGTCAAAGAGTCAGGCTTAAAACTAATTATTAAAAAGAAAACTAAGATCATGGAAGTGAAAGGCAAAGGAGAAAAGGAAAGATATACCCATTTGAGTGCAGAGTTCCAAAGAATAGCAAGGAGAGATAAGAAAATCTTCCTCAGTGATCAGTGCAAAGAAATAGAGGAAAACAATAGAATGGGAAAGACTAGATATCTCTTCAGGAAAGTTATAGATACCAAGGGAACATTTCATGAAAAGATGGGCACAATAAAGGACAGAAATGGTATGGATCTAAAAGAAGCAAAAGATATTAAGAAGAGGTGGCAAGAATACACAGAAGAATGATACAAAAAAGATCTTCATGACCCAGATAACCACGATGGTGTGATCACTCACTTAGAGCCAGACATCCTGGAATGTGAAGTCAAGTGGGCCTTATATAGCATCACTACGAACAAAGCTAGTGGAGGTGATGGAATTCCAGTTGAGCTATTTCAAATCCTGAAAGATGATGCTGTGAAAGTGCTGCACTCAATATGCCAGCAAATTTGGAAAACTCAGCAGTGGCCACAGGACTGGAAGAGGTCAGTTTTCATTCCAATCCCAAAGAAAGGCAATGCCAAGAATGCTCAAACTACCACACAATTGCACTCATCTCACACGCTAGCACAGTAATGCTCAAAATCCTCCAAGCCAGGCTTCAACAGTTCGTGAACTATGAACTTCCAGATGTTCAGGCTGGATTTAGAAAGGGCAGATGAACCAGAGATCAAATTGCCAACATTTGCTGGATCATCAAAAAGCAAGAGAGTTCCAAAAAAAAAAAAAAACCAAAAACCAAAACCAAAAACCATCTATTTCTGCTTTACTGACTATGCTAAAGACTTTGACTGTGTGGATGACAGTAAACTGTGGAAAATTCTTAAAGAGATGGGAATACCAGACCACCTACCTGCCTCCTGAGAAATCTGTATGCAGTTCAAGAAGCAACAGTTAGAACTGGACATGGAACAACAGAATGGCTCCAAATAGGAAAAGGAGTATGTCAAGGCTGTATATTGTCACCCTGCTTATTTAACTTCTATGCAGAGTACATCATGAGAAATGCTGGGCTGGAGGAAGCACAAGCTGGAATCAAGATTGCTGGGAGAAATATCAATAACCTCACATATGCAGATGACACCACTCTTATGGCAGAAACTGAAGAGGAACTAAAGAGCCCCATGATGAAGGTGAAAGAGGAAAGTGAAAAAGTAGGCTTAAAACTCAGCATTCAGAAAGCTAAGATCATGGCACCCAGTCCTATCACTTCATGGCAAATAGATGAGGAAACAATGGAAACAGCGACAGAATTTATTTTTTGGGGTCCAAAATCACTGCTGATGGTGACTGCAGCCATGAAATTAAAAGACTCTTGCTCCTTGGAAGAAAAGCTATGACCAACCTAGATAACATATTAAAAAGCAGAGACATTGCTTTGCCGACAAAGATCCACCTAGTCAAGGCTATGGTTTTTCCAGTAGTCAAGTACGGATGTGAGAGTTGGATTATAAAGAAAGCTGAGTGCCGAATAATTGATGCTTTTGAACTGTGGTGTTGGAGAGGACATTTGAGAGTCCCTTGGACTGCGAGGAGATCCAACCAGTCCATCCTAAAGGAAATAAGTCCTGGGTGTTCATTGGAAGGACTGATGCTGAAGCTGAAACTCCAGTACTTTGGCCACCTGATGCGACAAACTGACTCATTGGAAAAGACCCTGATTCTGGGAAAGATTGAAGACTGGAGGAGAAGGGGACGACAGAGGATGAGATGGTTTGAATGGCATCACCAACTCAATGGACATGAGTTTGAGCAAGCTCTGGGAGTTGGTGATGTACAGGGAAGCTTGGTGTGCTGCATTCTGTGGGGTTACAAAGAGTCGGACACGACTGAGCGACTGAACTGAAGATCATGGCATCTGGGCCCATTACTTTATGGCAAACAGAAGGGTAAAAAGTGGAAGTAGTGACAGATTTCCTCTTCTTGGATCACTGAAAATGGAGACTGCAGCCATCAAATCAGAAGCTTCTTGGCAGGAAAACTATGACAAACCTAGACAGTGTGTTCAAAAGCAAAGACATTCTGCTGCCACTGGTCTGAATAGTCAAGAGTATGGTGTTCCCAGTGGTCACTTATGGTTGCAAGAGCAGGACTATAAAGATGACAGAATGCCAAAATATTGATGCCTTGAAACTGTGGTGCTGGAGAAGACTCCTGAAAGTCTTGGACAGCAAGGAGATCAAACCAGTCAGTCTTAAGGGAAGTCAACCCTGAATGCTCAGTGGAAGGATTGATGTTGAAGCTGAAGCTTCAGTGTTTTGGTCACCTGATATGAACAGTTGACTCACTGGAGAGTGCCTGATTCTGGGAAAGACTGAGGGCAGAAGGAGAAGAAGGTGTCAGAGGATGATATTGCTGGATGGCATCACTGATGCAATGGACATGAACTTGGACAAACTTCAGGAGATGGAGAGGGATGGGGAGGTCTGGTGTGCTGCAGTCCATGGGGCCACAAAGAGTTGGACACAACTGGATAACTGAATTACAACAACAAAAATCTCAGTCTATCTGAACAAAAATCAGGCAAGGAATAGATTAGTAGAACTATGCTAATGTCTTCATCTTAAATAAGAATAATTCAAGATACAAATTCTTAATGTTAGCAATTAGAAAGCAATTGCAATTTTGTAGCTTGCTTTTTAAAGTATTGACAAGAACTGTTGCACCATTCTAGTCACTCACTTTAGGAAGAGCAAATTCTATCACTTTCTCAGTCTGCCTTCCTTTCTTCTGCTCTCTTTTCCCTTTCTGGTTGGGAATGTGTCAGCGGCATGATGAATTCTATATTTTTTATCCAAATATCATACTGGCTGGAGGCATTCTGCATTCCTCTTGGCTTTGGACTTTTTATAACCTATGATCAGAGTATAGATGGTTAAGGATGGCTGCTCTATCCAGTTCCCTAGGAGGATTTCTGTAATGTTAGTGCTCATTTATTTTGATATGGAGACTGAGCTTGGGAGGACATGCATGGATTTAAGCTGTGCACTTGTCTCCAGGATACAGAGAATGCTCTGATACACCTGCAACTTTGACAGTGCTAATTGGCTGGATGCCAAATGCAACCTAGAGGGCATCATAAGCAGTAGATGGAATAACAGAAATTCCTGGTGGTTTTCCTTTGGAAATACATCAGGACTCTAAACCTTTCTCAGTAACTTCACTACTTCTACTTTACTGTTCCCTCCCAATGTGACAATTGTCACTAGTTGGACCGCTCGCCTTTCCCCACTCCCCAACTCAGTCTCTTCTCAACATGATAATCTGAGCGATCCTTTAAAAACATAAATCAGACCATGCTCAAAACCTTCTAGGGATTTCCCACTTCACTCCAGCAAGAGTCAACATCCCTACAATGACAGAACGGGGCCCGACCTGGCTCTCCTCTCCTATCCAAGCACTTTCCTCCTCACCTGTTCTGCTCCAGCCACGTGGATGTTCAGAGCCACTTCCACCTCAGGAGCTTTTTTTTTTTAAACTGGGAGAAAGTGGCTTTACAGTGCTGTACTGGTTTCTGCTGTACACAACGTGAATCAACTATTGTTGCTATAGAGTCACTCAGTCATGTCTGGCTCTTTGCTGCAGCATGCTAGGCTTCCCTGTCCTTCACTATCTCCCAGGGTTTGCTCAGACTCATGGTCATTGAGTTGGTGATGCCATCCAACCACTCATCCTCTGTCGTCCCCTTCTCCTCCTGCCCTCAATCTTTCCCAGCAACAGGGAATTTTCCAATGAATCAGCTCCTCACATCAGGTGCCCAAAGAATTGGAGCTTCAGCTCAGCATCAGTCCTTCCAATGAATATTCAGGACTGATCTCCTTTAGGTTTGACTGGTTTGATCTCCTTGAGGTCCAAGGGCCTGCAGTGCCCCAGTTCAAAAGCATCAGTTCTTCAGAGCTCAGCCTTCTTTACGGTTTAGCTCTCACATCCTTACATGACTACCAGAATAACCATAGGTTTGACCACACAGACCTTTGTAGGCAAAGTGATGTCTCAGCTTTTTAATCCACTGTCTAGGTTGGTCATGGTTTTTCTTCTCAGGAGGAGTGTTTTCTTTTAATTTCATGGCTGCCATCACTGTCCTCAGTGATTGGGAGCCCAAGAAGATAAAAACTACCGCTGTTTCCATTAAAAAATGGAAAACCCCATCCATTTGCGATGAAGTGATGGGACTGGGTGCCGTAATCTTGTTTTTGCATGCTGAGTCTTAAGCCAAAAGTATACATATGTCCCCTTGCTCTTGAGCCTCCCTCCCAGCCCCCAGCCCCATCTAGGTGCTCACGGAGCGCTGGGCCGAGCTCCCTGTGTTGTCAGCAGCTTCCCACCTGCCATCCACTTTACACGTGGTAGTGCGTGTGTGTGAAGGCTGCTCTCCAACCTGTCCCACCCTGTCCTTCCCCCGCTGTGTCCGCAAGTCAGCTCTTTATGTCAGCACCTCTATTCCTGCCCTGCAGATAGATTCATCAGCAGCACTTTTCTAGATTCCATACTTATGCGTGAATATATGATATTTGTCTCTCTTTCTGACTTACCTCACTCTGTATAACAGGCTCTAGGTTCATCCACCTCAGCTCCCCTCAGAATCTGAGAACCTGATGTTTTCTGGGCTTGAAATATTCGTCCTCCAATTATCCACATTACTTGTTTTGTGACTTCCTCATCTCGTTGCTAAAACATGACCACAGGAGAGGGGCTTTCCATGACCACTCTTTACAAAATAGTCACCCCCCCAACCCCATTCAGGGGGCTCCCCTTCTACCTTATTTTCTTTCTTGTTCTCCATGGCACTTGTTCACATCTGACGTACTCCGAGCCCTGTTACGTGTTTTGTTAGATGTAGATCCCCTAGAATGCAAGCTTCATGAGGGCAGGCAGTCTGTTCCACGTATGGATGGATCCCCGCACACCACCCAGAGCATGGCACAGGAGGTGTTGAGTATGTATCTGGGGATGGCTATCACAAGCACACCTCTCGGCTTTCTTGGTGAAGTTTCACATTGCTTATTATGAGATGATGGTCATGAAAAGAGACCTCCTAGACAGGGGACTGGAGACAATATCATACAATGGGCAGAAAGGTCAAGCCTGGTATTGTGGGTTGAATAGTGTCTCCTCAAATTTATATGATGAAGCCCTAACCCCCAGTACCTCAGAAGGACAGCATTTGGAGACAGGTCCCTTAGAGAGGTGATTAAACTAAAATGAAGCCTTACAGTGGGTCCTCATCCAGTATGGTTGCTATACTTATAAGAGAGGAACTTTGGACATGCAGGGAGACACCAGGGCTGTACACACAGTGTCAAGGCTGTGTGAGGATTCATAAGAAGGTGACCTTAGGAGGAATGAAACTGGCCAAGATCTGGGATTTGAACTTCTGGCCTCCAGAATTGTGAAAAGAAAAACTGGGTTGCTTAGATCACTCAGTCTGTGGTATTTTGCTATGGTAGCCCTAGTGAATTAATAAGGCAAGTGGTATTTTGAGTTGGACTTGCAAATGTCTGGGTCTGCTTATATATATGACAACAAGTGGGAAACATACACTAATTAAAGGTTTCTAAAGGTCCAGAGATTCCAGGGAGTTCATAATCACTAAGAGAGAAAGGTATCCTATTAGTAGAAACTGCACAGAGCTAGGCTGACTTCAATCTTGGGATAAAAAAGTCTCCCCTAATGGGTAGACCACCACTACCATGTGCCCAGTCTTATTCCAATGGGTTTGCATGAGCTTAGCCATCCAGCTCTCCCAACAACTCCAAGAAAGTTCGTCACCTCATTTTTCATATGAGAGCACTAAGGCACAGACAGGTTGGCAAAGTTGGCCAAGGTCACAGGCTTCAAGTGGCAGCGTCAAGGTTCGAATTAGGCAGTGGCTCTGGAACTTGTACAGAACTTGGAACTCCTACATTCCACCTCCTTTTCTGTATCTCCCCATGCCTGCAAGAGGATTTCCCACACATTTAGATTTGCTAGTCACTGGTCTATAAGGACAAGCTAACAGTTTAGCTTTCTATTAGCACCAACCTACCTTTTAAGCTTAATGTTTTTTGCTCATATACATTTAGAAAAACCATATCATCCCGTTGTCTCTCAACTTTTCCCTCTCCCCTCTTCTTCTCCCATGTCCCTGCTTTCTTGGTCTTTCAGGTCTTTGCCCTGCTTTCTAGGTCTTCGCTTTTTTTTTTGGAGATAATTTTAGCTTCCTATAGAGCCTTCTGTCCTCATTCTTACCTCTTATCCTTATCTAGAACCTACTCTTAAAGACCAAATCCAAATCCCAACTCCCCCATAAGGTCTTACTTTCTTCTCTGAAAATTTCATTGTACACAGAGCTAATTTGAGAATTAATCATGTACTTTTTAATTAAAATTCTTTTATCTTTGGCTCAATATTATGTATAAATATTCTCAAAGTTTAACTCTTCACCAGTTTTATGTCTCATTTTCAAAATAGACTTAATTCATTGAGGAAATGGATGAAATACTCCTGATGATAATCTGAAAATAGAGACATTGATCTGCTTTGATATGCAAAAACAGTCAAGATAGAAGAAGGAGATAGTAAGTAAGGGCATTCTAATTAGCTAGCACCATGTTGAATTGGAGAAAGAAATGGCAACCCACTCCAGAATTCTTGCCTGGAAAATCCCATGAACACAGGAGCCTGGTGGGTTATAGTCCATAGGGTTGCAAAGAGTTGGACACAACTGAGCATGCACACACACACACACACACCATGTTGAATGCATTATATACATTAGCTCATTTATTCCTTACAGTGTATAAGTATCATTATCACTATATTATAGATGAGGGAAATGAAGGTTAAAGGTACTGCATAGCTTGTCCAAAGTGATACAACTTGTAAGTGTTATGCTAGCATTTGGAAGTGCTGTGATGGATTAATGTGAAGGATTTATAATAATAAGGGATTTAAATAGTGTGAGTTATCAGAAAAAGTAGAAAGTGAAGTCACTCTGTCATGTCTGACTCTTTGCAACCCCATGGACTGTAGCCCACCAGGCTCCTCTGTCCATGGGATTCTCCAGGCAAGAATAGTGGACTGGGTTGCCATTTCCTTCTCCAGGGTATCTTCCCCACCCAGGGATCAAACCTGGGTCTCCCGTCTTACAGGCAAACTCTTTACCGTCTGAGCCACCAGATTATCAGAAGGGAGAATGTAAATTGACCTCGGAAGTTCTGGTAGCCATAGCCTAGAAAATTTGGTTGTCCATCAAAATCTCTGTTCTTCTTGAGCACATAGCTGGACCACTGCAGTTAGGTGTGGATTTATGTCTGAGCTTTAGCCAGTGGGTTGGAGCACAAAGGATGAAGGTTGTCTCTGAGCTTGTCTCTTCCAGGACAGGATGCAGGTGCTGCTGCTGTGACCCTGCAGATGACAGAGCCGCGTGATGGAAGAAACCCGGGCCTCTGAATCACCACATGGAACCCTGCTATTAGGGAGGTTACCACCTTGATATTGTGGCATGAGCAAGAAAAGAGCTTACTGGAGGGGCCTACTTGTTACCGCAGCCTCGCTGACCTAACTGCTGCAATCTAGGAACTGGCAAGGGAGTTGGAGAGCTCTCAGCCTTGAACTAAGAATTTGCTGTGGAACGTAAAGACTGTCTTAGAATATCTCTCACTCACAGATTGGTAGGCTCTATTTCACAGATGGTGGGGTAATACCAGAAGTGTCTGTTCATTCGTGGCAGCCTACGGTCGATTGTTGGAGAAGGGCCTGGCAACCCGCTCCAGTATTCTTGCCTGCAGAATCCCATGGACAGAGGAGCCTGGCGGGCTACAGTGCATCGCGTTGCAGAGTCGGACATGACTGAAGCAACTTGGCATGCATGGTCCACTGTGCCACTAAACAGTTTTAAGTAAAATGAAACAAACTGGAGAATAACACCTCTTATAGTGATGAGGAATAGACATTTTCCATCTGGCCCCAAATTGAAAATTCCCTGATTCAGGCATAGCAGTTTCTAAGGTTTCTGAATTTAAATGGCCCAAACACAATACCTTATAGAACAACTGAGAATTTATAAGGCTCTATAAAAATTCAAATTACAATACTTCCTGTTACTTTAGTCAGTAGTTCAAACATACAGAATTAAAAAAAAATATCTGGAGCATTGATACAATTTATGAAAAGCTTTTACATGAGTGACAGAGTTAGACACATGGGTTAGGATGACGAGCTAGAGGGGGACAGTTCTGGCCACTGAAGGTCTCTCTTGTGCCCTCACTGCCCTCTGTCATCCATTCAGTCTCCTTTGAACTCCTATTTGATGTCAAGAGCTGCCTTCTGGGAAGCATTTCTAGGCGTTTCATCCATTTAATCACCCAGCTCTGTGGGACTCTGAAGAGCAGTGCTCTCCACTGAGGACAGACAGACTCAATCCTGGTTCCAGCCTTGGAAGGAACTTGAGAATTTCCGGTCCCCTCTCTCCCTCTCACACTCCTGTCTTCTTGCCATTTAACAGGGTGTTGATCCTCAGCCCAAGGACGGATTCTGTCTTGGTCTCATTCACTTCCTTGGGGCAGGCGGCTGCAGTCTCCCTCCCTGACAATAGAGGGTGCCAGAAGACCACAACCCCTTGGAAGTCAGGCTTCTGGTCCAATTTTCCTTCCCACGTGGAGCAGGAAATGGTCACTTGGTTTTTGGATGATAATGGAGGTTTCTCCTTTTCTGCCTCTTTATATCACCGGTGACATTTTTTGGCAGAAGCTGAGAAAATAGACTAATTTTTCCCACATGACCACTCATTGTTTGCACCCATCCCCCTTCTTTCTCCTCATACTGTCTTCTCCTCTTACAAAAGCTGTTTTTGCTCCGTAAGGCATGTTAGGTTAGCTGTGGGGGTTGTCCAAATCCCAAGATGCCATAAGTTTCGAGGCTCCCCTCTGTACTCACCTGAGTTGGCTGGCTCACTTAAGCTTATCATATGGAAAGCCCCCAAAATGGAATTATTAAGGAAGAAGATATCCTCTGAATCCTGTAATACATTCAGAAAATGTCTTTTGGTTGCTGTGTGGTTTGGCAGATTTGTAGATTAATATGGTGGTTGGATTGTGTTTTAGGGGTGGATCGAGATTCTGCTGTGTTTACTTTATTTACTGTCTCAAATAGGCATTTTACTGCCAAAACAAAGTGAGAAGAAGGAAAAGGAAAAAGTTGTTTGGGCCTTTATCCCTGACTGCTATGTAAAATTCAGAGACTAAAGCTGCCTGAGCCATAAACGACATCTTTTCCCAGTAGGGATTCTCTGGTTTACTCAAGAGTCATTAATTCCTGCAACTATAGTCCAAGTACAAGCATTTTGTGTTCATCCAGGATACAATGAGCCATGGTTTTGAGAAGTCAGAGGATGTTGGAGAAAGGAGAGAAAAAGGTCATCTGAAGCAGTTCACTCACTTTAAAAACAGCTCAGAGGTCCGAGGTCACTCAGCCTGTTGGACCTTAATTTTTTTCAGTCTGTGTCTCTGTCTCCTATATCTTGTCTTATTGTTGACTAGCTTGTTAGGGAAAATGTATTTCCTTAGATTTTCCTGAGGCTGAAGGCAGGCAATTATTTATTACTTTTATTGAAGTATAGTTGATTTGTAATGTTGTATTAATTTCTGCTTTACAGGAAAATGATTCAGATATTCTCAGCTATGCAGTAGGACCTTGTTGTTTATCCATTCTATGGATAATAGCTTACATCTGCTCAGTCCAACCTCCTACTCTTTCCCTTCCCCAAACTTCTCCCCTTTGACAACCACAAATCTGTTCTCTATGTCCATGAATCGGTTTCGATTTCATGGTTAGGTTCATTTATGTCATATTCTAGATTCCATATATAAGTAATACAATATGGTATATCTTTATCTGACTTAATTTTCTTAGTGTAATGGGGCTTCCCTGGTGGCCCAGCTGGTAAAGGATCTGCCTGTAGTGGGGAAGACCTGGGTTCGATCCCTGGGT